GTGCAGCTCTCCTCTGAACCATTTCAACCATGCGAATATTTTTTACTGTTTACGGGTCCCAGACAGATGAGCAATATTCCAAAATAGGACGTACTAAAGCCTTGTATGCTGTTTCCTTGGTACTGGATGGACAATGTCTTAAGTTACGCTTAAGAAAGAAAAGTGTTTTATTGGCTTTTTTTGAGATATTTCTGGTGTGTTCGAACGAAGATCCTCAGCCAGATGAACACCAAGATACTTAGCAAAACTTACAGAATCCAAGGCTTTCCCTCTAAGTTTATAATCAAATACGTCTGGATTCAGCCTTCTCGTAACTCTTATAACGTTACACCTTGAGGTATTAAACTCCATTTTCCCATCTGATTCCCATCTTTCCAAGTTTAGGAGATCTCGTTGTAACTGAATACAATCATCTTTGGACTTGATAACTAAATAAATCACGGTGTCGTCTGCAAAGAGGCGCATTTTAGACTTCACATACAGAGGAAGGTCATTAATAAAGGCCAAAAATAAGGTAGGACCGAGCACAGAGCTCTGTGGGACTCCCGACTCTACTGGAACTTGAGTTGACATCGTGCCTTCAAGGACCACACGTTGCTTTCTGTCTAACAAAAAGCCTTTTATCCACATTCGAGTAACAGTGTCGACTCCATAATTTAAAAGTTTATAGAGCAGTTCCTAATGTGGCACTTTATCGAATGCCTTTGAGAAATCCATTACTATTACATCAGTTTGTCCACCATTTTGCATTTCCTTGAACAAATCATCAATAAATGCAATCAACTGAGTTTCGCATGAGTGCCCCTCACGGAATCCGTGTTGTAAATTAGATAATATCCGTTGTTGTTCAAAGTGTTTTCTTATGTTAGATACTATTATAAGTTACATGATTTTACAGCAAATACAGGTTAACGATACAGGCCTATAATTCTCAGCCATCTGTTTTGACCCTTTTTTAAAAATTGATGTAACATTTGCTGACTTCCAATCCAATGGGATAACACCAGATTCTATTGAGACCTTGAAGATTCTGTGTAAAATTGGAGCAATCGATAAACTCAGCTCTTTTAGTGCTCGGGAATGTAAATTATCTGGTCCAGGAGCCTTGTATGGGTTAAGCTTGGTTAGGAGTTCTCCAATCCCATCTTCAGTAATATAAGTAATATATCATATACATTTCAGTAATATATGTATACATACAACCCAAATGGGCTATTGTCTCATAGGACATGAGGGCAAGTGGACTCATTGTTAGTCAAATCCAACTAGTCGGTCAAAAAATATGATAAATGCAATACGTTTTGAATAGACCTATCCCGAATTCGCTTGACTGGTCAAGAGGCAATGGTTTTAATTCGAGGTTGAACTTTATGAATAAAAGATTAAAAATCATCATATCAAGTTCAATCTCGACTTCAAATCATTGTTTCGGGGTCAGTCAAGCGAATTCAGGATAGGTCTATTAGAGTTAAATCTAATGTTTTGGTTTTCCGAGCCAGCACTTTTCGATACTATAGTAGGAAATAACTTATGGCTTAGTAGCGCCTTTTCCAATCAAAACGCCATTAAGTGGTTATCGCCGAGCCAACTGAAAGTCTAACCATTCGTAGATGTAATTACATAAGTACAAAGGCAGCACTTAGCCTCCTCCGCAGGCTACTCGCTAAGGTTTTTGTTGGTTTGGGTTTTGTTGCTGTTCGAGAGGGTTGGGTATCCTGTGGTGAAAGCGAGGTCGGTCAACTATCAGCCAACACAGTAAGCCCAGTATAGCAAAAGAGAGAGAGAAGAGAGAAAAGAGCAAAGAGCAAAGAGACGCCTGCGGAGGAGACTAGCCAGCAATTTCTTTTCAGTTCATTAAGACCCTGAGTGTTGCTCCGGCTGCCAATATATGACGAAATAATTAAATTCCCTCGAGCAAAAACTAATTACAGTGCTATTGTTGCCCCTAGAGGGATTGTGTTGATCTATTGTTAAGGACGTTCATTATCAAAAGTACCAATCATCAGATTTTTTTTAAAAGTTTGCATGATGAAAGAACATCCTACTAAAAGTAAAATAAGCAAATAAAAAATCGGGGTCCCAGACTTCGTTTGGTCGTCAGAATTCATGGAAGCTCACCCTTTTTTATGGTAAAAAAACGCGAACAACGTAAACATGGAAAGCTGTCAAATATATGTGATATTTTACTGAAAAAATATATTTGTAGTCCCCATTTTTCACAGAAGACTAGAAAATAACCAAATAACTAGTTTGAACTAACATTTAACTAGCATTTGAAATGTGTGTAAAAAAGGTAGAAATACAAAATGTTGTTGTGCTACAATTATGGACTCGAAGCATTCGCGTTATGTGAAATTCTTTTCCAATTAAACACAGAACTGTAATTTTAATTTGAACCCATCGTCAGATTTTTCAAGTTTTTCC